AAGCTACCCTCCCCCATTTTTGCATACTGATTTTTGGTTTTAGCCCGGCCAATATTAAATTTTCCCTAGGTCAAATTGCCCTCCATTAAAGCAATTTTAACTGAAGCAGAGAACTCAGGTAATAATTTTGTCTTTAGCAGAAACTTCTTTTTCTTTGAGAATTAAGTTAGAATCTTATTATTCTAAAGCCCAGTGACTTCATATGCAAAGGGTACATTAATTAAGTATGGAAGTTAATTCTGCATGAGCACTTTGCTAAGAATTTTCCAAACCCCAGATTTTAGTGATTTTTTGTTGTTGATTTTGTACCTTAATTTCTGTTATGCAAAATAGAGGCATATGATAAAACATACAATGTATATAACCTGGCTGAGAGAAAGTGCTTTTTAGAAAATTAATATGAGGAACGTTTTTATGTTGTGTTTGTCTTTGCATGTTTGTTGAAGAGAAAAAGAACAAAACCAACAACAAAACATCTCCAAACTTGGGCTGGCCGCCAAGGAGCTCAGTAAGCTCCTTCGAGCTTCTACGCTGCACCTTTCTACTGTTGAAAGTCTTTTATAACTGGGCTAGGAATTAAGCAGCTTTTAAATTTGGCAGGTCTCTGGGTTCCATTAAGAACTCATTTAAATTGTTTTTCACTTGAGCCTGAATTTTAACTACCCCTTGTGGATTTCAATCAGGATTGTTATAGAATTAGGTGAGGATGGAAATTAGAGTAACATAAAAAAACAATGGAAAAGATACTATGTTAGAAAATGTATGATTCACATATTTAGAATTTACCATAGTCATCAAACCATGAATAATATAGAAATGAATTATTAACCTGATAAAACATGTCACTGCATACTTTGGAAACCTCTAGTAACAATAAAATCACGTATAGTTTTATGGCTCTGAAACAAATTGCCTGGATCACCTGCAGCAGGTTTAATTGAAATAACTAAACTAATTAGATAAGAAATAATGAATGAAAATAAATATAAAGACCTAGGTCAGGTGAGGAAAAGCTGTATATAAAATCTGTATGGTATATTTGTATTAAGGTCTTGTTTTAAGGTAAGTGAGAAAGGAAATTGCAAATTAAGTCTGGTACTATGTATACTAAGGGCCCAAGTTTTAAAACTGTATTGTTTGGCATAAAACATTTTGTTTCTCCCAGCTCCGTCTCCTTTCCCCCAACATGCAACCAATACTCTTTATCTCCTTGGAGTGGGTGAATGCAAAATCAGACCCTGGTTAACCCTATTTTCAGAAAAATAATGACTAATTATTAATGTATAGTTAACTTCTCTGGCAAAATGCTTAACTATTTAAAAAATCATGTAGTAAAACAAACTTTTTCATTCATTTTGTGTTTGGTGATATGAATTTTTAACATATTTATGGATTTGGGTTTTCACTACCGCCATCAGGTTATCGAACAGTTCCATCACCCCTAACAACTCCCTGGTGCTGTCCCACTGAAGTCACATTCTTTCTCCATCTGGAAGAATGCTTTTTGAGTTTTTGAGTGGAGATGTGTGTGTCACTGAGACATGTCCTTAACTTGACATGTTCGAAACATGACACTTCCAAACCATTGTAAAAATGTATTCTCTCTTTTGCTCTCATTTTGGTGTTTGTTCATATGTTAAGTGCTCCTCCCTGAGAGTTCTATACAGTTGACAAATTTCCTCAGAACTAAATGAGATTGAATTGAGTATGATCATCTGACCTAAAGGCAGGGCAAGCAGAAAAGTTACTGGAGGAGTGTTGCAAATTATAATTCAAGAGATTAAGCTACTAGGAACTAGCAATAGTCAAGGGAAGGGCTTATGACTGGGGAGAGGTAAGACTTAAACCCAGGGAACAGAAAGGGAAGAGGATATTATAGGCTATAGGCTGAGGAGCAGCATAAGCAAAGCATGCTGGCTGAACACCGCAGGTAGCTCTGCATGGCTAATATGAACGATCTATGGAAGGTGATAGTGGAAGAGAAGACCAGAGTATGGATTTTCTCTAATTGATGGTAGGAGCTTGTTGACTTCTTTCTGAGCAGGTAGGAGATTTGATCTGAAATGTGCTTCCAGAAGAATAATTGTATGGGACAAACCCCACTTTGGGGACAAGAATATGTGAGACATCTAGGATCCCAGTGACATCACAACTTTTCTTTAGCTGCTCCTCAGTGAATTTGAGCCAGTTTGGTATCAGAACCTTCTGAGTGTGTGTTATGCTTGGGTATGTAGAAGCATAAAGATTAGATTACACATTGGTCTTAGAACATCCTTGGGTTACTCGTGTTAAGTTTAGTAGCATTAAAGGGAAATACCAGGTGGTATCTACCTGATTATTAGAGTCAAGAGTCTAATGTCAAAAGGGGAAAAAACCCAGATCCAGCAGCATTACAATTTTTTTTTTTTTATAATTTCAACTGTTATTTTAGATTCAGAAGTACATGTACAGGTTTGCTACATAGGTTTATTACATGATGCTGAGGTTTGGGGTATAAATGATCCCATCACCTAAGTAGTGAGCATAGTGCTCTGTAGGCAGTTTCTAGTCTTTGCCCCCTCCCTCTGCTCTCCCTTTTGGAGTCCCCAGTGTCTATTGTTACCATCGTTATTGTCCATGTGTAACCATTGTTTAGCTCCTATTTATGGGTGAGAACATGTGGTATTTGGTTTTCTGTTCCTGCACTAATTTGCTTAGGATAATGGCCTCCAACTGCATTCCTGTTGCTGCAAATGACGTGATTTTGTTCTTTTTATGGCTGTGTAGTATTCTATGGTATGTATATGTATATATATGCTGCATTTTCTTTACCCAATTGTTTTCTGATGAGCACCTGGGTTGATTTCATGTTTTTGCTATGGTGAATAGAGCAGCGCTTCTTAGAAACATTATCTTACAAGACTTATTCTTGTCTGAGTGAGCTGTACATCATACATATAAGAAAATAATAGCAAACCTATACCTCAGGTCTGCAGGAACTCATTCATTCAAAAAGCATGCAAGTGCATATAGTATATATGGGGCATATATATTTTCTGGAAGCCCAGTTGTGGGTCAAGCTAGACTTTAGAAACTGGCAGCCACCTCCTGGCACCTCAGCCTAAGTTATCCTGGCTAGGCCATTCAGCTGTCATCTTCTCAGTAACCAGAGAATGTCCCATCATTATCAAGGTCTTTTTGGACATAGGTGCTTTTTTGATGACTTTCTTACATTTTATTCTTTCTTCCTCCATTTCCTACTAGCTTTGAGGTGCCTGATCCAGTCTCTTGAATCCTGCCTCAGTTGGCCTCCTGCGTAATCTGCCTTTTTCATTCCTGCCCCCTCGGCCTATAACCTCCACTGATCCTTCCTCTTGCCTGTGTCTGGCCTCTGATAGACTTACCAGGTGTTGACTCATGACCTATTTCCGATGTTACCCAAATGGGGCATATTACAACTGAACATCTCTAGTCTGATTTATTTCAGATCACGGACTAAACTTTGAGGAGTGAATTAAAGTTCCATTTTACACCACTGTTTGTGCTTTTCACTCTAGTAATATCAAATTGTTTTCAGGCCTCCATGCCCCACCTGTCTCCAAAAGAAGCATGTGACACCAGGATGTTTCACAACTGCTTTACATGAAGAGTTGGTTTGGGGCACATTGGGGTCAGAGTTCTGTTTTGTTTTGTTTTGTTTGAGACAGGGACTTTCTCTGTTGACCAGGGTGGAATGCAGTGGTACCATCACAGCTCAATGCAACTTCGGCCTCCTGGGCTCAAATTATCCTCCCACCTCAGCCTCCCAAGTAGCTGGGACTATGGGCATGGGCCACTATGCCTGGCTATTATTTATTTATTTTTTGGGTAGAGATGAGGTTTCACCGAGTTGCCCTGGCTAGAGAAGAGTTTTAAAAATTCTTGTTTAAGGCTGGGCACAGTGGCTGACGCCTGTAATCCAAGCACTTTTGAGAGGCTGAGGCAGGTGGATTACCTGAGGTCAGGAGTTCAAGACCAGCCTGGCCACCCTGGTGAAACCCCATCTCTACTAAAAATCCAAAAATTAGCTAGGTGTGGTAGTGCATGCCTGTAATCCCAGCAGTAGCTGGGCAGGAGGGAGGCTGGGGCAGGAGGGAGGCTGAGGCAGGAGGATTGCTTGAAACTGGGAGACAGAGGTTGTAGTGATGAGATCATGCCAGTGCCCTTGAGCCTGGGTGACAGAGCAAGATTCCATCTCAAATAAAATAAAATAAAATAAAATTCCAGTTTAGTTTCATATTAATAACCAGGAAACTAGATTTGGTTCTGCTCTAGATAGATTCAAGAGAGCTTAGAAAAAAGTCTTGGTTCAAAATTGGGTTAAAAAATGCATTCAGTTCTGGGGCCAGGAAATGAGAATAGTTTTAGATTCGTGATATTATTTGAGCTTTGCTTGGATTGAGAGGACATGGACAAGATGGAGATGCAGACTGTAGTGACCAGGTGGCATGTCACCTGAGGGGCTGTTCAGGGGTAGGAGCAAAATTTATTTTCTAGATGATTGACTGTGGCACTGTGTAATATAAATGTTCCACAAGATTGCAGTCCTGTATCCAAAGCACAGGGAGGGCAGAGAAGATGCTAACACATGTGGGTGACGCCACAAACAACCACTCCCCTTTTGGGCAAGGAAGACAGTTGATCTTTGTTTTCCCACAGAGGAGAAACTTATTTCAAGAAATCTCTGGGACACGTGTTCTGCTCATGTCTCTGAGGACTACCAAGAAGAGTCTTGCTTAGGAAACACTGAGACCCGGGTGTTAGGGTCAAATTGACCTCTTGAAAAGACTGCCACCTTCTTCTGTGTGACTTTAAAACTGTCTCATCAGAGCACCTGAAGCTCTGTCAATCCCAGTCATATCCCTTATAGCTTGGTATGATTAAGGAGGACTTTTTTTCCCCTTTCAGAGCAAAATGACTATTTTGAGGATTTCCTGAATGGCTGAAGGTGAACGTTGTCATTTTGCTTATTCTTTCTACAGACTGAGCACTTCCAGGGATATTCTGCCAATGTGGGATAGGAGGAAAGCAGAGCTTTTTGCAACTGGACACATCCCTGGGACACAGAGGATGTCTTCATGCACTGAGCGTGTGAGTCTGCCCAAGCTTTGTCACTTGCTCTGCTAGCGTGTGTCAAACATGCACAGTGAGATGGTAGGGACTGGTGAAACAAAGGAAAGCTCCCCCAGGAGGGCAGGGGGTAGGAGTTAGTAAAGATGCAGGTCTTATACAGCAGCAGACAATGGACTATCTCTGCAGGCTATGTTGTTACAGCTTTGCACTGAGACAGCTCAGTCCACTTCCACACACCTGCCTTTTCTCAGGAAGAGGGAGGGAGAGGACCAGCATGCAGGGCTGCATTTGCCCAGCGTCCAGTCTGTGCTCCTCCCCTCTTAACAAAGCCCCATTCACCAAGTCAGGCACTGAATGAAGGGCTCCATGATCACCCTGTCATTCAATCCCTTACAGTGGGCTCTGCTATTATCCTCACGATATGGGCGGGCAAACAGGCTTAGAGATGTTAATAACCTGCTCTGGGTCACAGAGATAACACACGTGAAATCCCAATTCAAGTCCAGGTCACAGTTTTGGTTAGAGAACCTTAGCTTGTATCCATTAGAATTCTAGGATTAAATTTCCCTATACCTGAAATTGCAATGAAGTGAGGTAGTTATTCTGATGACTAAAGTGCCCTTCAATTAAAAAAAAAACTGGCTTGCTGTTTGTGGTCTTTCATGTATCCCTGGAAATTAGGTGCTTGAGGATTAGGTAAACTAATTCTTTCAAATCTGACTGTTTCCTCCTCATCTCTTTCTCCCGTTTTCTCTATAGCACTTTCTTGTCAGCATTTAGGTGTCTGTTCCTTTTGCCTCCCCTGATAGCCTATAGCTTCAGTGGGCACTGAAAATACACTGTCTTGTACTGCTACTTCAGGGCTCTTGCAGGAGATGCTGTGTGGTAAAGAGAAAGACAGATTAGAGCCGGGTAAGGAGAAGCCAGTGTGCTGAGGGGGAGGTGGGCTGCAGTGTTCAACAGGATGGCCAGGGCAGACCTCCTTGGGACCATGACATTTGCAGAAAGAATGGAAGAGCAGTAGTGTGTGTGTGAATGTGTGTGTGTGTGTGTGTGTGTGTGTGTGTGTGATGATACACCAAACTAGATTGTGAACTCCTCGACAGAGATCCTGTTTTATGTTCCTTGGTATTCTATGTGCTGTGTTCATATTAGGCACCCAGATGTATTTATTAACCCTAGTGTATATCAGATTTAGTAAATTGCTACCAGGAATAAATTAGGTATGAGTGAATAGTGGGATGATTTGTTTTCCTTTAAGAATCTCTCTCTTTTAGCAAATAACATTCTTGTTCTTCTTTCCTCTGGCCATAAAGGCAATATATGCTTACTGTAGAAAACCATGAAAACTCTACAAACATAAAGAAGAAAATAAAAATCACTCACAATTTCAGCTCTCAGTATAAAGACTGCCATGCATTTTGGTGCATTTTCTCTCTTTACACACACACACACACACACACACGTTAAAAAATAGGATCATACTCAGTGATGATATTTAAAATGTTGAATGACCTGTATATTAGAGGCACTGATCCACTGCAACCCTTAAGTGGTTGGATGGTGGGGATGGTCCAGGGACCCTAGAAGATGGGCCAGTGCAGCGGGAGGATGCTGTTTACTAGTACAAGGCGAAGTTGGCCATAGCAGCCCATCTGGACTGACCACCAGCCCTGAGTGTACTGTATACAGTTTTGTACCTTCTTTTCATCTAACAAAACACAATCACAATGCAATTATGAGTCTCTTAACTGTTTGTAATTGACATACATATTTATATATATAATATATAAAATAAGAATAATAAAATGAATATTCATTTTATTATTATTTTTTGAGACAGAGTCTTATTCTGTCACCAGAATCCCTGGCCCAGGGTCTCTAGAGTGGAGTGGCGCAATCTTGGCTCACTGCAACCTCTGCCTCCCAGGTTCAAGTGATACTCCTGTCTCAGCCTCCTGAGTATCTGGGACTACAGATGTGTGCCACCACGCCCAGCTAATTTTCTTTTTGTATTTTTAGTAGAGATGTGGTTTCACTGCATTAGCCAGGATGGTCTCAATCTCCTGACCCTGTGATCCACCCGCCTCAGCCTCCCAACATGTGGGATTAGAGGCGTGAGCCACCTAATTACTTCTTTTCATCCAACAAAACACAATCACAATGTGATTACAAGTCTCTTAACGAAGTTTGTAATTTAAAAAATATTTTTATTTTAAATGTTAACTTTCATCATGGGACTATAAGCATCAACTGAAAAAATATCAAAATGATTTTAATGCCTTTTATCTTGGGCAAAGCAGCACAACAGATCCTACCTCTCCAGTGTTCTCTGGCTCCTAGCTGGCTCAAGAGACTTTCTTGCCTCTGCTGCAGTAGTTACTTGGCTTAGTGTGTAGATGTCTGAGTGCCATGAAGTTTAGAGAGGGAAAGATGACAAGAGCAAAGTAAACAAACATCAAAGGCGGTGAATCTTGGTTGATTCCAACAGATGCCGTGTCGTGAAGATGCTCTGAAGGAAGGGTGGAGATGCTCCTCACCCTCCTGGGCCCTTCTGGCTAGCGACTGTCTCTTCACTGCTGCTGCTACCAGTGCCCAGTTTGTTGCCTGAAGCCAAAAGCTGAAAGCTCACATAACCTTTTGAAGAGTACTACATAAGTAAATTGAGTTCTCATAATGAAGAATAGCTGAGTAAACAATGTCACACCATGTGGTTCCATGAATTTCCTAAGATTAAAAACATTTGCAGTCACAGAGACAGACATGGGATAGGAAACACAGGTCTATTTTATTATGTGGGTTTTGAAATTAAACCATTTGTTTAGAGCAAAGGCGCTAAAGTTCTGCAGATTAAAATAACGAATTAAATTTGTTTATTCAACAAATATTTATTGATCATCCACTCCATGCCACACACCGAGCCAGGTGCCAAAGACAAGCATGGGTCATAGAGCTTTCATGGTGCTTCCGGGGAAGTTTATTAAATGGAGACAGAGCAGTGATTATGCTTTTCTATATTTCATAAATGTGAATAAGAGTATATAGTTGTTTCTCAAAGAAACATTAATTTTCTTTATTTTAGGTCCTCAGCTGCTTCTGTATAAGAGAAACTTTACTTTTACCCCCATAACTTCATTCCAGTATGTTTTAATGAATTTACAGCTAAATCACAGACATTGCAACATATTGTTGTGCTTCAAATCCCCCAAAAGGGGCCACTTTTGATGTGCTGAGACATTTAGAGTTAGAAGGCTGTTTAGGAAATTGATGCAAAGACATGTGCATTATCATATGTGGAGAGAGAATAAAATGGCATCTTGAGAGAAGTGCACACATGCCAGGTTAGCCATGTCCCACCCCATGGTATGAAGAGCTTGAGGAACCAAGGGAGATGCTCATCTGGAGCCCACACCTGCTTTTAGACCATATCATGAGGACCCAGAGTTTCAGAATCCCTGGCCCAGGGTCTCTGAGTCCATGACCAGAGCCCGTGAGGGCTTCTTCTGTAGGTTTGTCATTTCGAGAGTTGACTGCTGTAACTATGTGCTGGTGTGTGCACCCAAGCATATAAGACCCCTCCAAATAGGATGCAGATGGGAAAAGGGAAGGTGGCTGGACTACTACTGATGTTAGATATGGGCCTGCATATAGGAAATTTTCTCACTGGTTAAAAAAATGATAAAACAAGGTGATGTGTGTGTGTCTTTAATCTTTTCAACCTCTCCCATTACTTCCTAGAGTTAAACTCTGAAAATGTAAATGAAAGGGAGGAGACCTTTCATTAAATAGAGGATTCTGCACGCTAATATATCCTCTACAGCTAAATAATTCTTTTGGAGGAAAACTAAAGTTGAGCATTTTATTTTGTGCATCATTGTGTTCTTTGAAGCAATGGATTACACATCTTAATCCTGTGCACATTCTTAAGATGAGGACTCCATCTGGGAGGACAAACCTTCCACAGAAACGTCTGGGTTACACATGTCCATCCAGTCCTTTGCCAAGTGCTTAATGGAGCATGCAATTGGTGAGATATACTGAGGTCCTCTGGAGAAACCTAAAAGAGAATCAACGGGCTCAGAGCAGCCTGGCATGCACATCATTTGGGTCCAGCTCCAATCACTCAAGCCATTTGCTTTAAATAATTACAATTAGACACTCTTCTTCTTATGCTGTTTCTATTTTTAATTCCATTAAGTTTGAAATAATGGAGGATATTTTACTCTGTCAGTTTTACAATTTTCCTTTGGGTTCGTTTCTGTCATTGAAGTTAAAACTAGATAAGAGTTCCAGAATCCTTAAATCAAGAATCTAATGAATCTGTCCTCACAGTGGTCTGGAAAATGCAGGAAAATGCACATCCAGTAAATACTTCTTCCTACGCCTTATGGAGTCCTGCAGCCATAATTCATGACAAACTGTCTTGTGCTTTGGGACTAGTTGCAGAATCATGAGCTGTCAGAGCTGGCAGGGATCTGAGAGTTCATATGGTGTCATTGCCTCATTTCACAGGTGAGGCATGAGGATTCGGAGAGGGGAAATGCTTGTCCAAGGTCACAGAGCAAGTATATGGCAAGCTAGGACCCAGGACTCCACAATGTACTTTTCCATCTTCATTTCAAGGGGCTGCAATGAATGATCAGCTGGTTCAAATTGTTTCATTGTTGTTTTTTTGTTTTTGGTCTGAGAAACCCAATACCCTGCCACTCCCCTAAATTTCTAAGCTTATAACAAACCATTTTGAGTAAATTGGGAGTTCTTGGCTTATTCCAGCCTTATACCTACACTGTCAATTCTTGTTATTTGTAGTAGTTATGTTCTGTAAGTTTGCCAGAAATATCATTGTTCCTAGAGGAAACATTGGGTTAGGTTCCTGTGAGCCTCTGGTCACAATATTTTCATCAAGCAGTCAATACATAACCTTGCTTGCATCTCTGTTTAAAGACACCTTATTTAATATATATTGTTGAATCATTAACATTTAACTCATGGCTAACATCACTGCAACTCATGCCAGA